CGCCAGCCCCTGCCCGGCGGCGCCCCGGCACACGCGCTCCCAGTGATCCCCTGGGCGTCTTTACATCTCACAGCCCCATAGGTGCCCCCCCTGACGCCCTGCCCCCGCCTAACTGCCCCCGCCTGACGCCCTGCCCAGACCGGCTAAGCCAAATAGGGCGTCAGCCAGATATACCTGAGACGCGCCGGCGCGCACCTGACTGGGTGTGAACACACGGCCTGCAGCACCCTGCCGAGCAGCCGGAACCCACAAAGATGCTAGCTGCCTGCCCCTATGCAAAACTCCCCTCCCCCGTGAACTTTTCCACCTGATCCTGCCTGCGCACTCGGTCCCAGGGCACCGCAAATCGGGGCGCAGCTAGAATGCTTTGGCAGGCCAAGAGTTGAGGGGTTCCTTTCCCAGAGGCAGGCGAGCTGAAATTGGGGGGCAGTCCACCCCAGGTAACCGGAGCCCCATGGCGTATCACTCCCGCTGTCGCCCAGGTTACACCAAACGCCTGTCCTGCCCATGCGGGTGTTTCTATTTTTCCTCTTGAAAATGGTAATCTGTGGTTTTTCATGCTGTAATTTGGGGTAGATTTTTTTGGGGGGGCCCTTTTAATTTGAAATTAACCCCCCCCCCAAACCAATACCCCTGTCTCTGTGTGTAGAAAAAAGCCACCTGCAGCCCCACGATTGGATTTACGACCAAGACGCATCTCTTGAATCGAAAGACTAGCTGCCTTCTAGTCTGGGGGTTTCACGATCTGTACATAGAACTCCTGCCTCGTTACGATTTCCACGCCAAACTGCAGCCATTCCAATGAGAGGCCTTGGGGGAGGGGGGCGTTAAAACTACAAAAAACAAACGTACTCCAGTGGATGCATCGTTCTCGTACTTTATGCAAATAATTGCTGTAAAGTTTTTTTTTCTGTTGGTTTTTTTTTTTGGTGTGTGTAAATATTGTCTTTAAATGTGTAACATATTACAAAGAATTTATAAAGGGTTTTGTAAGAAGTTGCGCTCATTTAAAAAAAGAAAACCACCAAGTGCTGTAACAGTGTTGAATTTTTAAAAACTTTCCTGCATGTGTCATTTATTTTTCCTTGATGTGTTGTCAAAGGTCAGACCTAGCTATGGAATATGCAAAACTAAAAAAAAAAAAGCGGGGGTGGAACCAGATCGCTCAGCCGTTCAGCGTGGTAGATTGGAAATAAACTGGCATATTCAAGGAACAGGCTTTCTGCTTTCATTGAAATGGCCAATTGGCTTTTTAGCAACCAAACGCTGCCGGATGGGGTGGGCAGTTTGAACCGGGGGCGCTAGGGGGTGCTGCTTTCGCTGCCGGGGTTGGCGATGGGCTTGGGGGACGTGTTAGGGCGAGTCGCTTTGGTTATACCTGGTAGATTGGAAATAAACTGGCATATTCAAGGAACAGGCTTTCTGCTTTCATTGAAATGGCCAATTGGCTTTTTAGCAACCAAACGCTGCCGGATGGGGTGGGCAGTTTGAACCGGGGGCGCTAGGGGGTGCTGCTTTCGCTGCCGGGGTTGGCGATGGGCTTGGGGGACGTGTTAGGGCGAGTCGCTTTGGTTATACCTGCGGGTAGCGAATGAACTCGGAGCCTCCGGGAAATTCCACAGGGCTGTTCTGTGGCAGTGGCTCCGT